CCCCCCCCCACAACTGGAGACCCCCCCACCTTTACAATCTCTTAAGGCCGGGGGTCAGCAGCGTCCCAGGGGGTGGGTGCCCCCTGACGAAGCCCCCACCGGCAGAGCGACTCCCAAGCAAAGGGGGCGCCAGGGAGAGGCTGTAATAAATAGAGGGGCATGGCAGGTCCAGGGGGGGCGGCTGTCCCCGGCAGGGTCCTAGCGCACCATGTACTCTTTGCGCTTGTTCAGCCGGACCTGGCAGAAGGAGAAGCCCCCGAGCAGCACGTACAGCCCGGCCGCGATGAAGCAGTTGTAGCTGACTTGCTCGTAGAGACGGTGAATCTTCTCCGGGCCACTGTGGGGCAGAGGGAGCGGGGGGTCAGTCCTGGAGCCGGCGCCCCCGAGAGGGGACAGGCCCCGTGCCCCATTCCCCGCCCTCCTGAGCCAGCCAGTCCCCGCCCTGGGGCCGGGTGGGAGCCGGCGCCCCCTAGAGGGGACGGGCCCCATGCCCCATTCCCCGCCCTCCTGAGCCAGCCAGTCCCCGCCCTGGGGCCGGGTGGGAGCCGGCGCCCCCTAGAGGGGACGGGCCCCATGCCCCATTCCCTGCCCCCCTGAGCCAGCCAGCCAGTCCCTGCCCTGGGGCCGGGTGGGAGCCAGCGCCCCCTAGAGTGGAAAAATTTCTCCATTAAGCACCTTCGCATAACCGTGTACCATGTTCATATAACCTTGTACTGGGCCTATCCATGGGGGACCTCTGTTTTCAGGCAACTTTGTATCAAACCTTAGATAGAACCTGTGTATTGAGCTTGGGTACAATGTTATCACCCTCAAGGATAGTTAAGGTAGAAGGAAAATGTATTTTCGCTAGGAGGAGAATAAGATCTTCCCCCCTTTTAATGGACTGCCCTGTTGACTGACCGAGGTGTGGATCAGGAAGGCGTGGAAGGCAGCGCCTCCAGACAGCTGCACCCCGCGGAGAGGGGCTGGGAGCCAGACCCCAGAACAATAAAACGTGTCCAGTGGGCTCACTAGAGAAGCTCAGACATATTGACGGCCTCGGGGGTTAGAAGCCAGCACCTGCTTTTGGAAAAACACCCTCTTGGAAAAGAAACGTGGTGACATTAAGACAACCCCCAGAAGGAAGCAGCACAAAGGGCCAACGGACACAGAGTTTGCAGCTGGTGAAGATCTGCATGAGAGGGAAGCTGCTATAAATGTGAGGGGTCCTGCAGAGGACCCCAGGTCTCGTCTCGTCAACACGGGAGCATCAATCCGGATCGGCAGAAGCCCGGCTCCACCCCCTCCCCCATCTAACTCGCCTGGCCAGTGCAGTTAAGGGGAGCAACTGGCTGGTAACAAGACAGAGCGAGAGAGAGAGTGTGTGTGTGAGTCATGTATCAATCCACACTGTCATATGATCTATGCATTACCCATCAATGTGGCACTTTGCCTGATCCCCCCCGAAGAGATCCGGGGCAGTTCTTTAAGGACAAAACCAAGGGCAACACTTACTCCTTGAAATCTTCCTCCGTGAAGGGAACGTCTTCGATGAGAATAGCCGAGTGAACGTTGAAAAAAATCCCCAGGAGAATCTACGGGGAGAGACCAGAGATCCGGGAGGGGGCGGGTGAGAGCAAGGGAAAGCCCCCCCCCCCCCCCGCGCCCCCCCCCCCCCCCCCCCCGACATAGGCAGGGCACAGCCCAGGCAACAGCCACATCCGCCTGGCTAAGCCCGGTGCCGCCCCCTCAACCCGCCCCCCAGCAGGATCCACCCCCCACGTCCTAGTTTCAGGGCCAGCTGCAGCAGGGCAGAGGGGCCTGGCAGGGAATCAGGACCTAGCCCAGAGCCTGTTTACACAACACCAGACACCCGAGTGTCCCCGCCATGCCCAGCCGGGTCCTGGGCAGAACCGGCCCCGGGTCAGATGGAACCGGCCAAGGAGGGAGAACGCGACCTTCCCAGGAGCGGAAAGCCAATGCCCGGGACAGATTGCAAGGGCAGCCAGACTGGGTCAGACCAAGGGTCCATCTAGCCCAGTGTCCTGTCTGTGGCCAGTGCCAGGTGCCCCAGAGGGAATGAACAGAACAGGGAATCATCAAGTGACCCATCCCCTGTCGCCCATTCCCAGCTTCTGGCAAACAGAGGCCAGGGACACCATTCCTGCCCAGCCTGGCTAATAGCCATTGATGGACCTATCCTCCATCAACGTATCTAGTTCTTCTTTGAACCGTGTCATAGTACAGAACATAAGAACGGCCGTACCGGGTCCGACCAAAGGTCCATCTAGCCCAGTATCCTTTCTACCGACAGTGGCCAATGCCAGATGCCCCAGAGTCTTGGCCTTTGCAACATCCTCTGGCGAGGAGTTCCCCAGGTGAACAGTGCGTTGGGTGAAGAAATACTTCCTTTTGTTTTAAACTCGCTGCCTATTAATTTAATTGGGTGACTCCTACTTCTTGTGTTGTGAGAAGGAGTAAATAACACTTCCTTATTTACTTTCTCCACATCGGTCATGATTTTATAGACCTCTATCATATCCCCCCCCCTTAGCCGTCTCTTTTCCAAGCTGAAAAGTCTCAGTCTTATTAATCTCTCCTCATACGGAAGCCGTTCCAGACCCCTCATCCTTTTTGTTGCCCTTTTCTGAACCTTTTCCAATTCCAGTAGAACTTTTTTGCGATGGGGAGACCACATCTGCACACAGTATTCAAGGTGTGGGCGTCCCATGGATTTATTCAGAAGCAACATGATATTTTCTGTCTTATTATTGATCCCTTTACTAAGGGTTCCCAACACTCTGTTAGATCCAAGGGGCGCCAGGCCTGGAAGTGTGGGGACAAGCCGAGGGGGCACCAGACAGCCCCGGGATCCAGGAAAGGGGGGATCGCCCAGAGGGGGCGCCCGGCACAGACTCGGGGGTCTCACTCCACCCAGGGGTGACACAGCCAGTGCCTGAGCCGCCCCGTCACCTTTTCCAGCTCATGTGGGGAAGTCAGTGTCACTGAGGAAGTTGGTGGGGGGAGGTGCCCCCCCCCCCACTGCAGCCAAGGCTGGATCCAGCCACTGTGGGGCAGCCCCCCGCCCCCCCGCGGTCACACAGTGCCCCCTCCCCTGGGCCCTCATCCACCCCCACTAGACCCCAGGCCCCTTAAATGCGCCCCCACCCGGCCACTCTTGCCACCCACTTCTACCCCCAAAGTCCCCACCCCCATGTCACCCTGCCCTGCCCAGACCTCCCCGCCCCCCACAGCCCTGCTGCCCCCCAGCCTCCCCCCAGCCGGCCGGGGCCCCGCTCACCAGCATGATGACGCCCCAGGCGCTGAGCACGATGCCGCAGGCGGCCAGCTTGGGCCCGCAGCAGAGCAGGGAGGCCATAGCCGGGCCGGAGGGGGGCAGCGAGCGAGCGGCGCGGAGCCTCCTCCTTAGGCTGCTGCTGGCCGGGCCGACGCAGCAGACTGAAGGCGGCCGCGGCCCCAGGCGGGAGGAATCACGTGATCGGGCGGAACCACCCTGCAAAGACTGTGGGGGGGAGGGGAGAAGCAGGGCACGTCCTCCTCGTGGCGCAATGGAACCGGCCAGGCCGTTTCCAGCTCCGCCTTCCGATTGGTCGAGCGGCCCCGGACCGTTCCATCCTCTCCCAGGGGAGGGGGGCGGGATCCTGGCTATTTATAGACGCGGATTTCCGAGAGCCCCAAGTCCCCTCAGGTGGGGGAGGGGGGGATAAAATCCCCATAGGCTGGGTGAGGGGGGAGTTAAATAAGGGGAATGCAAAACAACCTCTCCCCTAGTGCAAATGGTACAGTCCAAAGAACTGGGTCGGTGGGGGAGGGGCTGTCACATGACAGGGCCTTAAATCGAGCAAGGGCAGGGTCACATGGGGACCAGGTCACGTGACTGGACAAGGCAAGGGCCATATGGAGGTCACGTGACTGGACAGGACAGGGTCCCATGGGGACAGGATCACGTGACTGGACAGGGCAGGGTCACAGGGGGACAGGGCTGTGGCTCTGGGCAAGGCAGGGTGGCCATCCCAGCTGCCTGGAGGACAAGTCCGTGGTCCCCTTGACTAGCAGACGCACATCAGCCCACACCCAGCTCCTCTGAAAGTGGATTCCCTGCATCCCACCCCTCCCTTGATACGCACCAATGCCCCAAAGCCTGCCTCCTTGGCCGGCGAATTAGCCTAACCCCGTCCCCTGCTAGCCACCGCCCTCCCCCAGCACTCGCTGAAGTCGGCATCTGGCCCAGGCTGATAGGAAACGGCTCGAAATCGAGCCCGATTCATTCTGTCTGCGGCCCGGCCCCGAACCCCAGCCAAGGCAGGGACCAAACCAGCGAGGGGACTGGGCCAAGTGGCTGGGGGCGGCTGTAGCGATGGGTCACTTGCGATAGCACGGTATAAATACCTCCGGCTGAAATGCGTCACGGGAGAAGTGCACCTCCTGCGAACGGGGAATGGAACGACGCCGCACGGGCCGGCTTCCCGGAGACTGGGACCGGAGAGAACCTGGTTCCTGTCCCATATTTATAAACCTGACGGACGCTGGTTCTTTCGGCGCTTGAGTGTATTTCATACCGAACCCCATTTATCAACAGGGTTAGCTGCTTCTACTAACGAGGACAAAGCTCCGTTAACAAGAACGATATTTCGCAGACAGCATGGGCGAACCTTACCTTACCGGCTACTTATATTTTTCCCCTGCCTGGCGGCCATGAATGGCTTCTTATTGCGGAGGGATGCTGGGGACGGGTCCTCGCATGCAGCACTTTGAAATCTGAAGTTTGGCTTTTTCTGCGTCCACTTCCAACCAATTTCGCTCATCTCGCCATGCAGGTTCGTCCACGACGATGCTCTCCCAGCCCACGGCTTGCTCCAGGACATGGAAAGTATGGCAGGACCTGGGTATTTGGGGGTTTTCCCCCTCAAATTCTTGAAGTTTCTCCGTTCGCTTGTCTTTGTCCTCTTCAAAATCGGCCGGCATTTCTCTTCAACTCTTGAAAACGCGGCGATGGTGCGAGGTCCTTGTACAACGTGCTTCGGATGCCTCCTGCGTGTTCATCACTCGCTTCCACAGCTTCGGTTAGACTCTTCACAAGCCCGTCCCTTTGGCAACCCAATGACAGTGTCCTGCGCACGGTGTTTTCAATCCGGTCGTAGCTCTTCCATCAACACGTGGGCGCACGCTGAGAAAAGGGCAGAAAAGCTTTGTTCCCCCTCGGAGATTGTCCGGTGTGGAGTTCGCAGCGTAACCATCAATGTCTGTCCATTATTCTGCCCTCGATTCTTCTTGTGCCGAAGTGGGAATGTTCTTAATGTCGTCTCGGAGTACTGTGCGCGTGCCTCGGTTTTCCCACGGGTCACTCCTGTATCTAGGGGGCGGGATCGGTGCAGGGCAGGGGTGATGGCAACGGGCTAATGGGGCACAGAGATCGGCCCACACTCTGTAGCCCGGCACCCCATGGCCGGGGCCCGTCCCCTGCGAGGAGCCGGCCGGAGGGGCTGGGAACAGGGGGCCCAGGGGACCAGTTTGTCCGGAGGTGGGGCGGGGGGGCTGAGACTGGGCTTTGTTTGGACCTCAGGGAGGGGCTCTGGGTCCCGCCCCCCGATGGATGTTGCTGCAGGTCCCTGCTCCTGGTGTTAACGACCTTGGTCCTATGCCGCGTTCCCCACAGCTCATAACCTGTCTGTGAGACAACTGCCTGCTGCGGGAAGTGGGGGGCAGGGCTCTTGGGGGGGGGTGAGGGTCCCCAGCGGCCCCGCCCAGGGGGACTTGCTGCAGGGAGCTCACAGGGGGTCCAAGGGGCTGAGCGCCCCCAGGAGGCACCGAATCCGGGCAGGCTCCTTGGCCTGGGGGGGGGGGGGGGGGGAGAGACGCTGCTTCATCCGGAGCGGTGCCCGAGGCCCCAGGGCACCCCGAAAGAGCCAGGCTAGCAGAGGTGGGTCTGGGGGCAGGGATGGGGTGAATGGGGGGGGGAGGGGGCTTACTAACCTGCTGCCCCTGCACAGACCTTCCCCCCCTCCAAGGTCCAGAGACGGGGAGTCTCCACACACCCTTAGCGGCTCCGGGGGTCCCATCCGTCAGAGCCGGGTCACCCCCCGACATGGGCCGGCACCCCCCAGCCCTGCTGCTGCAAACAAAGTCCCCCCTCGGGGGCACTGGAGGGGAGTCTGATACAGGGGGCGAGCCCTGTGCGGCTGGGTCAGACAGGTAATAGGGGGTTACCCCGTCCCCTGGGGGGGGTCAGACCTCCCCCATATGGCGAGGGCTCTCCCCCTGGGTGTGGGGGGGGCGCACCAGGTCCCGGCCCCCCCACGGGGCACAGCATCTGCAGGCAGTCGCATGTCCCCGCTCCGGGCGGCTGGCGGGTCTCTGGGGCACAAGGCCAGGGGATCCCCAGGCTCTCCATGGGGCGGAGGGGCCTGCCAGGCCCCCCCCCCGATCTCTGACCACCCCCCCAGAAGTAGGACCCGCCCATGAAAAGAGGCCCCTCAGTAACCCCACCCCTCGCTCCCCACCCCACACAGACTGCATAGCCTGGCACTTGGCGTGTGTGTGTGTTTATTGAACCATCCAGGGGACACAGTGGGGGGGGGGGCTGGTTGGGGGGGTCAGGAGGGCCCCCTAGGGGCCGGGTTCGGGGGGCCCCTTCTCGTCGTCCGGGGGGCAGTCGATGAAGTCAGCCAGCATGGTCTCCGTCTCGTCCGCCTCCGTCTGGGGGGGAGAGATGGGGGGGGGTCAGCCGGCAGCCCTTGCCCTAGGCCCCATCTCTGCCCCCCCAGCCCCCGACCCACACCTCACCCCCGCCCCTCCCCAGGGCCCCACCCCTCACCCCCCGGGTCTCACCTCTGCCTTCCTGGCCGGCTGCTCCCGCTTGGGGCTAGGCTGGGCTCCCTCTCCGGCGCCATCCCCCTGCTCCCCCGCCGGGGGCGCCCCCTCCTCCTTGGGGGGCTGCTCCTCCTCCAGGACGGGGGCCGGGGCTTCCAGCAGTGGGGGCTCTGCCCCCATCTCCCCCTGGCCGGGAGGCGGGGCCTGGAGGGGGCTGGCCTGCTGGGGTGGGGTGGGCGGGGCCGACGGCAGCTCCTCCTCCTCCTCCTCCTCCTCCTCTCGCGATGGCTGGGGGGCGGGCGGGGGGCTAGCCTTCATCACCACCACCTCCTCCTCCTCCACCTCCTCGGGGGGCGGCGGCTCGGGCGCCTGGCTCTCCTCTACCTCCATGATGAGATCGTCCGGCTCCCCGGGCGCGGCCGGCGGCTCCTGGGGGCCGGGGGGCGCCCGCTCTTCCTCCGACAGGGCCCCCTCCTCCTCCTCCTCCTCTTCCTCCGACAGGCCTTCCTCCTCCTCGTACTCCTCCTCCTCTTCCTCCTCCCCCCGCTCTTCCTCCTCCTCGAATTCCTCCTCCTCCTCCTCGTCGAAGTCCTCGTCTTCCTCGTCGAAGTACTCCTCCTCCTCCTCTTCCTCCTCCTCCTCCTCCTCGTCTTCCTCCTCCTCCGGGAACTCCTCCTCCTCCTCCTCGCTGCTGTTGATGTTGATCACAGCTGGGTTCTCCTCGCCCAAGCCGGGCAGCACCTCGCCGGCGGCGGGCGGGAGCGGGGCGGCGGGCGGCTCCTCGGGGGGCTGGGTGGGGGGCGGGGAGGGGGGCGCAGGGGGAGGCGGGGGCGGCGGGGGGGGCTTGGGCAGCAGCCCCTTGGGGACGATGACCACGCTGTCGTCAGAGTCGCTCTCCAGGGAGATCTCCACATCCGACTCCTCCTCCTTCTCGTAGTGCACGTAGACGGGGCGCCGGGGCTTGCCCCCCAGCCCCGCCCCCCCCTCCTCCACGCCCCCGGGCGAGGGCGGAGCCAGCAGCCGGGGGTCGCCCGCCTCCCCGGGCTCCTCCGCCAGCGCCAGGCCGGGGCCGGCGGAAGGGGGCAGCCGGGGCGGTGCCAGCCCCAGGTGGTTGGCGGGCGGGGGGCGGGCGGGCGGCGGGGCGGGGAAGGGCGGGGCCTGGCGGAAGGGGGAGGCAGCCAGGTCCGAGGGGGCGGGGCCGGCCGAGGGGGCGGGGCCGGGGAGGGGCAGCTGCAGGGAGGGCACCCGGGGGCGTGCCAAGGCGCTGCAGGTCACCAGGGCTTCGGCGCAGAAGGACGAGACCTGCAGGGGGCGAGAGAGACGGGGGAGCGCTGGAGCCGGGGGGCAGGGAGGGAGGGGAGAACGGCGGCGGGGGTGTCCCCGTGGGGTCTCACCTGCAGGCTGGGGTCCCGCTGGCCCAGGGCGAAGGCCCGCAGGGCGCAGTGCAGGGGCGGGGGGCAGGCGGGCGCGGGTGCCAGGAGCAGGGCCAGCAGCAGGCGGTAGAGCTGGTGGCGACAGGCCGGGCTGGCGTAGGGGCCCCCGGGGGGGACATCCCCCTGGGCTAGGCGGAGCAGCAGCGGCACCACCAGCTCCTGCAGCCTCTGGGGGGAGAGACGGGGGGGTTAGAGACAGCGCCCTATAAC